TTGCCATATTACATTAGACATGCTGCTGCATAATATTCCATGATATGCATCCACCACATTTCACTATTCTCCCAACAATGGACACTGCAGTTGTCTCCAAATAATACCATATAATTCATATTCTTTATTTCTTATGATCTCAGATTTCAATATTTATTTTTACCGACAAGTTGCTTCATAGATGAGGAAAAATAATATCTAAACAAATATCCAAGCAATATTTAAACTAAATCCAAAAATCTTGCATAGTAGATTGTCAAATTTTCTCATATAGACAAATATAGAATTGATGCAATTGTCTTCAAAAAAGGATCACTTAATAAAGTATTATGACTTCTAGTTTGTTTTCAATGACTTTTTTCCTTTCTTTTTCCTTCCCTCACTAGCTTTCTTCTTTGCTTCTTTACTTTAACTTCATTCTGTCAAACATATATTTATTGAATGCCTTTGCCCTGCTAGTCATTATCCAAGACAGGAGTATACAAAAACAAGGACACTGCCCTGTAGTAACTAATAATCTAATGTAGCGTGTGTTTGGGGAGAAGGAAACATGGGAACATACATGTATACATAAAAAGTTGTTGGGGGGCGCCTGGGTGGCTCAGTGGGTTAAGTCACTGCCTTCAGCTCAGGTCATGATCCCAGGTCCTGGGTTCGAGCCCCGCGTCGGGCTTTCTGCTCAGCGGGGAGCCTGCTTCCTCCTCTCTCTCTGCCTGCCTCTCTGCCTACTTGTGATTTCTCTCTGTCAAATAAATAAATTAAAAAAAAAAAAAAAAAAAAGTTGTTGGAAAACAGACAAGAGTATGCAACCAGATCTGCCTTGGTGAGTTAGGGAAGATTCCCCAGGAAAGATAAAAACTTGGGCTTGATTTTTAAAGAGAAGTTGAAGGGGGAAACAGAAGATAAAAGAATACTTGGTGTGTTGAGCGTCTGGTGAGTAGTTCAAAGTCATCATGTATGGGGTTCATGACAGTGGATAGTGGGAGGTATGGCTAGAAAAATAGGATGGATTCAGATTAAGATGGACTTTGTAGGCATTGTTTTGTCATGTGACATTAAAGAGCCATTGCAGGTTTTATGACAAAGCAGATTTGGTCGTTATTTATTTATTTATAAAATATTTTATTTATCTTCTTGTCAGAGAGAGAGAGAGAGAGAGAGCGTAAGCAGGGGGAGAGGCAGGCAGAGGGAGAAGCAGGCTCCTTGCTTGCAAGGAGCCTGATGTGGGACTCAGTCCCAGGACCCTAGGATCATGGCTTGAGCTGAAGGCAGACACTTAACCAACTGAGCCACCCAGGCATCCCTGGACTTGTATTTAGAACCATAACTTTGGCAATACAGATCAGAGGAATAAGAGGTCATTATTAGGGAGACCAATTGCAAAGCTATTATTGCAAATAGTTAAGGTAAGAACTATTGAAGACCCACACAAAGGAATGGCCTATTTTCTGCCTAAGTATTTGTGAAGCAGGAAAAAAAAAGTAAAATCTGGGAAGGAAGACTCATATTTGTCATGCAAATTAGAAAATAAATACTATCATCAAAGGACAACATAAAAGGGGCGCCTGTGTATTTGCCTGTGGTGACAGATACATGCGCACATATGGTAACATTGTATAGAATTAAAACACAAACACACACCAGGGGGTCCAAGTGAAACTGGGGGAATTTGAATTAAGATTGTGAATTGTTACTATTGTGGTAAACTGGGTAAAATTTACACAGATCTTTCTGTGTTATTTTGTATAACCGTATGACTCTATGATCATTTTAATATAAATTTCAATTAAAAATGATAGCAGAATAAAGATATTTTCAAATGAAAATCTATTAATCTGTTTTTGGATGTAGAGAGAGAAATTTAAGGCAACTTGTCCAGAATTTCCCACTAAAATTTTGATTTTATGTTGCATTTATATAATTTTGGGGAAAAAGGAAAAAATAAAACTATCTAGAATCAAAACTAAGATAACAGTTACTTAAATGTATCTTGTGCAGTTTTTATGTGATAATTATTATTGGCACCATTAGACTTTTTAAATTTCTGATTAATTGAGATGGGTGAAAATAAATATTTATTGAGTACTTAAAGTGTAAATCATTGCTCTGGGGACTGGACTGACATATATTTCTCTTTTCCATGCTAATGAAGAGGCTGATTTTATTAGAATTATTAATGCATTTTACAGATGGAGAATCATAAGGGTCGGAGTGTGTAAGTACTTTTGCAAGGTCACAGAATGTTGGGATGAACCTATGCTTCTCTGACTATCAAGCCTATGTGCTTTTCCACTGCTTAAGGGTTGAAATACAGACATAAGCATATTTAAGAAATCATCTCTGTCATCGACTTGTCTGGTTGATTTCTATAGTGTCTGTATCCAATATTTAGAAATGTGGAATATACTTTTGTGGTAATTGTTGTGGATTATTTCAGCTCAGGAAAAATGATGTAAAATTTGTGACAGATAGTTTTTGATAAAATATTTCACAAAAATAGTGTCAGATGCTAATAGAAGACTTCAGAGGTATTCCCTCAACCTTTAAATAAAACAAAAACAAACAAAACCTCAGTAAGAAGTTTATAATGTTTAACTTTTATTTGGTGTTAATTCTCCATCAGGTATCATGTTAAGCAACTTACACATTGTTTAAGCTTTCACAACAAAATTAGGATGAAAGATTCCAAAGCTGCACTTCTTAACCACTAGGCTACAATGCCTTAAAAATCAACCAAATGTAAATAATGGGGGATGAAGAAAAAAAGGAAGTTTAACTCAAAGTTCAGCATGGTTCATGATCAGTCACCAGGGCTACCACTTACTGTAATTAAGTTAGATGAGTTAACTGCATTATGCGTTTAGAGGGTCTAAGAGGAGTCAATGTGAAAAGGAGTCAATGGTATCTCAGGTCAGTTACTTTCTACCCCTATGTCTCATTTTCTTTTCTTCATCGCCTTTACTTATTTATATCTAGAATTATTTCAGGGGCACCTGGGTGGCTTAGTCTGGTATCTGACTCCTGGTTTCAGCTCAGGTCATGATCTCAGGTCAGGGTTGTGAGGTTCAGCCCTACACAGGGTCTGGGCTCAGTACAGACTCTGTTTGAGATCCTCTTCCTCTCCCTCTGTGCCACCTGCCTCCCACCTCTGGTTCTCTCTCTAAAATAAATAAATCTTAAAAAAATAAAATTATTTCATTACTGTCTGTCACATGCCTTACCTCACTAAATCATAAGTTCAGTAATACCAAGAAACTTGTCTTTCTTAATCAATGTTATATTGCCAGTGTCTTACCTTGTTCCCAACATACATTTGGGACTATCCCAAAGGAATGTATAAATGATTGACCTTCCCTTGACTTAAATGGTAGAATTTTAGATTTACAAACTATGCTTTAAACGATTATATTAAAAGACATGCATTATTAGCAATTTACTAGGGTTTCATTTCTTAGATTGGCTAAGATACACTGGAAGAAGGGGAGGAGCAGCAGGCAGAGGGAGAGGGAAAAGCAGGCTCCCCATTGGTAGGGAGCCGGATGTGGGGCTCGATCAGAGGACCCTGGGATCATGACCTGAGCCAAAGGCAGATCCTTAAAGACTGAGTCACCCAGGCACCCAAGGCTACTAATTTTAATGAGATTGGAGATGACAAAAGAAAATCTATGTGCTTTAAAATGGAAAAAAAAAAATGGAATATAGTTATTAAACATGAGCATTACAATAGATGACTTCAGGCAGTTTGAAATGTAAAGGAATGAGCATGTAGAGAAGAAATTCTCAAACTTTTTGGTTTCAAGACCCCTTTACACTCTAAAACTTGGGGACGCCAGAAAACTATCCGGTGCATTCTAGATACTGGTATGTATCATATCAGAAATTAAGAAATTTAATTTAAAAGTATTCATTATTTCACCTAAAAACAATACATCAATTAAATATTAACATAAAAGAATCTTATATAAGAAAAGTAACTATTTTCCAAAACAAAAAAATTGAGTGGCACGGTCTTACATTTTTGCAAACCTCTTTAATGTCTGCTTTAACTGCAGATGACTGGGTTTTATTATCTGCTTCCTTTTTCAATGTTTCCATATCACATGTTATGTAGTCTCCGGAAAACTCCACTGTACACTTGTGAGAGAATGAGACTGCAAAAGGCAGATAATGTTTTAATATTATTATGGAAATACTTTCGACTTCTCCGACTTCTTTTAACGCGTCTGGGGGCCACACTTTGTGGACCACTGTTTTAAGAGTTAACATTAGTCAATCCATCATCAGTTGAAAAATAGCCATGTTTCACGGGCCTGAGGATTTACATAAAATTTATTTTTTCAGCAAGATGAAACAACAGTGTCCTCATTATAAGGCATCCAGAGAGTAAACAAACATTGCCATTTTCATCCATCAAAAAAACTGAAGTAGAAATGAGGGACTGCACGTTAGGTAAAAGGATGGAAGGTAAGGGATGAGGAGGCAGCTCCGGAAGCCACTGAGACCCACCGAGTTAGGACACGCAAAACTGCAGAAGACGCCGCCAAGGTGGTCAGGAGGAAAGAGCTGTTGTTCTTAGGGGAAAGTACGGGCGAGGAAGGAAAATGGTTACCCGGCACCACGGAGTTGAAGGAATTAGGCCGGGATAGGAACGGGAGGCAGCTGCCCCACCCCGCTTTCACGCCTCCATGAACCAGGCAGAGGAGAACGGGGTGGGCCAGGGGCAAGGCGAGCGAGTCAAGGGCCTTCCCGGGTACCTAAGGGGTTGTGATTTCTTTTCTTGTGCAGTGGGGAGAAAAGAGACAGCGCGGCGCGTAGCAGGGGGCCGAGGCGGGAACCCGAGGACCCCCAAGCACTTCGCAGAGGGTGTGGAGGTCGTCCAGGAAGAAGGACAGTTCTGTTGCTAGGCAACCCGTCCTGGGCCCTCCTCTCGCTCGCGTTGCTAGGAGACGGCGAGGCCTGGGGGGGCAGCGGAGCGGGCCCTACGTGCTGACGCTAATTGTATATGAGCGCGAGCGGCGGGCTCTCGGGTCTTTTTTAGCGCCATCTGCTCGCGGCGCCGCCTCCTGCTCCTCCCGCCGCCGCCCTGAGTCACTGCCTGCGCAGCTCCGACCGCCTGGCTCCCCGTGCTAGCCACCGGTAACGGATGGGGGGGTCTGAAAGGGAAAGGGGAACGTAGGATCGGTCAGGCGGCCTGCGCGGAGGGAAGGGACAGGGGAATGAGAGTGAGGGCCTCTGGCCTCCGGGGCCTCCCGGGTCGTCCAGTGAGGCCGGAGCCTGAGCCGTCCGCTGAGTTTCGTCCCCGTAGCCTGAGAGGGCCTCGAGGATTGGCTGGCGCTTTACTCGGGAACGGCTGAGGAGACGCGGAGGGTCGGCGGGGCCTGCGAGGCCCGGGGGCCGTGCTGGTGTGCGCCGAGGTTCCCTGAGCCCCACCGGCTTCTCCGCGCGGACGGCAGCGAGGCCGCGGTTTTGCCTCCCAGTCCCCAGCGGTACGGCCGCTGTCTCTTCAAGGCTGCCGGGGTGCGGGCCGGGTTCGAGTGCGTAGCCCACCGCTTCCTCGACACCCCCGCTTCCTCAAAAATAATCCCCGGAGGGAGGCCGCTGGGGGATGGAGAGAACGGCGGAGGCTGCGAATTCCGATGGGAGGGAGGGGATGTGAAGGGACGCGGCCCGGAGGGGGCGGGGAGGCTTCGAGGCTCCTGGGCTCTCCGCCCACTGGAGGCGGTGACGGTGCTGGGAGGGGAAACCCCGGAGGCTTCCCTAGACGCGTGGCCGTCGCTGGGCTTGATTGGAGACGGGGTCTGGGTTGTCCTCACTTTACTGAGAGTTGTAGGGGTGGTGGGATGTGAAAATTAAGAGTAAACAAGTTTAGCTTTTGGCTTTCAAACTCCTACCTGCTTCTCTTTGGTCTTAATCATTTTATTGGTAACAGGAAAGTATGAGTGTTAGATGGGTGATGAAGCATGGCCTCTACTGCTAGGATTTTAAAGAATTCACGCTTGTGAAGGGGTCGTGTTAGCTGTTGTTAACACGGGATTTTTTTGTGAACCTCCAGTACAGTTAGAATTTAAATGGGTGTCTTGACCGGGATTTCATTACCTGGGGAGAAGTGATCCTAATTAATCTAATCCTGTAAACGGTTCTAAGAAGAAAATAAACGATTTTTTGTTTTTAGTCTATACTTTAATTCTATTATGACTTCTTTCACATTCTTACAAATTAGTTCCTTCATTGAAGTTCCCAGAAGAGGTTACTTAACTAGTTGTTTTTATAATGAATGGGGGCGCTGGGTGTAGGAAGTATGGGTGGAAATAGGCGTTAATGTAAACTTAATGGGTCAGGTTTGTAGCCTGCTGTCTTGTCAATGCTGCTACTAATAAAAGGAGGCATTGAAGGGAGCTGGGAATGCAGCCCTATTTGGGAGGGCTAGGCTTTCAGAGTAGAGAAAGAACGAATTCGGCACGTAATGTCCTCAAGGAGCCCCTATTTTAGATCATCACTGATAAATGATTAGTAACTAGTTCTGTAAGGACTGCACTTTTAAGTCTCTGAACATTGCCTGGTTTCAGAAGAGCTGTAAAACGGAATTTGCTGTTTTTGAAGATAGGTAGCATCAACGTATCTTTTAAAAGTAATATTTAATTGGGCGCCTGGGTGGCTCAGTGGGTTAAGTCGCTGCCTTCGGCTCAGGTCATGATCTCAGGGTCCAGGGATCGAGTCCCGCATCGGGCTCTCTGCTTGGCAGGGAGCCTGCTTCCCTCCCTCTCTCTGCCTGCCTCTCCGTCTACTTGTGATCTCTCTCTGTCAAATAAATAAATAAAATCTTTAAAAAAAAATAAATAAAAGTAATATTTAATTAAGTCCTCTTTTCTTGTCAACCCACGTTAACACTTCTGTACTTAAAATACACATTACCTTTGGATAGGGGAAAATATTACATATAGAATAACTTGTTTAAATTGTTGAGGTAAATAATGGTTTACAGTGATCTTCTGGGCCTAAGTCTCGTGCTTGTTGGAAGTTGTTCAAATTAAATAAAAATTTTAAAAAATTAAGTTCAGTTAATGGTCCAAATCTAAAATGTGCAATTTACTTCTAAGAAGACTGGTCCTGGGTCCCCTGGGTGGCTCAGTGGGTTAAAGCCTCTGCCTTCTGCTCAGGTCATGATCCCAGGGTCCTGGGGGAGCCTGCTTCCCTACTCTCTCTCTGCCTGCCTCTCTGCCTGCTTGTCATCTCTGTCTGTCAAATAAATAAAATCTTTAAAAAGAAAAAAAGAAGACTGGTCCTTTGGAGGATAGATGGAATCAAACATTGGTTATGAAACCTTGACTTCATAGATTATCAGGTCAACGTTATGTTAATTTGATAAATACAACTTCAGAAAAATTCATCATACCAGTTTGAAAAACCTGTAAATTTTATCTATTGCAAAGTACCTATTTTTGATACTGGGCCTGTTGACAAAATACTAAGCCAATGCTAAATGTGGCACATGACTGATCTTGTTCGCTGGAGATTTAAACGACCAAAACCCAACACTTGTACCAGAATTAATTTAGTCCAAAATGCTGTTGCTCATTTTATTACTTACCCATCTTGTCCATATTCTCTCCAAGTGACTGAATTCTAACCCCCCAAATTATATTTTAAAAAGTCCTTTTGTAGGAAAAGGGGCTAAAAGAGGCAAAATCTATTGGACTTAAAGAATGAAGAAGATATCAAAATCAAATACTACATCTTTGCTCATTTTTTGATTGGTTGTAAATTTGAAATGTTAATGAAAATAAGATGAGAGAGGATGAGTCCTGATCAGTTTTGAAAACTTATGATCAGTCTATTCAGATCCTCAAGTCTAAATCAGACCTGCCATTATTTGTGTTTTTATTTGATTCTCTGAGTATTTTAGCATCTATTTGGATATAATATCTTTAAAAACAGCAAAAAAGCATTGGTTAGCTAGCTATAAAATGTTCAGTTGTAGTGAATGCTATTAAAAAGCGGGGACAGAGTAGTATTTAACATTCTTTACATCAAGGACCCATTTAATGGTGATTTTAAGTGCCATTTCTTAATAATTTCATCTGAATAAGAAGTTCCCCTTTTTGGGCAGAGTAGGTTTTAGAAGGTGAACATTGTTGCTTTCACCCATCCTTGTAAGTTGTTTTGTACATTGATATCAGACTACTAGATCACATTACTGCACTTGCCATCCAAAGTGGCCTCTGTATTTTTGGTTATCAACTCTGCCTTTTACACTACATGGTTTGATACATTTTTATTTGTTCAGAAATTTTGTACTTTTTAATTTTTATTGGGAAAGGGGGTTGTAATTTTGAAGAACCTATTACATTTAATTAACTGTTATATTTAATTAATTATACTTAATTATTTTCTAAGGTAAAGAGGGTACAGAAGAACACAACAGAGGAAAATAATGTAAGAGCACAAATTACTTCGTATTATTAGATAATTTAATGCTTCTAGAAGTAGGTAGTGTCAGCATTTTATGTGAACCCGAGGTACAGAGCAGTTAAAGGACTTCTTCAAGGTTACATAACTGAGCAATGACGACTTACCATGAGGCTTTTGTATTGGTTTTTAAAGGGAGTTCCCTTGGTTTAAACTGTTACACTATACATCAGCTTGGAATTCATAAGCACAGTTCTTTGGATTCCACTGTGCTCTAAGGAAAGGCAACAGTATTTATTTATGGTCAGGGGTCTTCCAACATGGAATTTGTTTACATATGGTAGTTGAGTGATGGCTCCTAAGCTTTTTGTCTGGTGTGTGTGTGTGTGTGTGTGTGTGTGTGTAATTCTCCCCTCATGCGAATAAATTGGTTTTGTTTGTTATTGCTTGGTGAATATTCACCAGATTTTCAGTCCAGCCCAGGTCTGTTTCTGTGCTGTGGGATTAGATGATGATCTAGAAAATTGAGCTCCCTTGGACTAGAAGTTATGTAGTGTTCTCAAATAGGAGTCCATTTGGTGAGCCTAAAGAATAGGATATTCTAACGATGAGGTTGTGCTGGAGCCAAATCAAGTATTGAGCCCTTGGACCACTGAAAACGTTATTTATAGAACAACAGTGTCTTAAATATAGATTTGCTTAAAAGTTCATTTGGAGGGAGATGTGAGGTCTCAGGTAAGGGGAATCTTACTATTGGTTCCCTTGAACTCTTGCTTTAAAATATTTGTAATTTTTCATGATTGGTTGTTTCCCTATGAAGTATGTCATTTTTATGTAAAGGAACATCATCTATTTTATTACAGTATAATCTACGTAACAGTAGGCTGATAGAGCAGGTACTTTGGTTTTTTGGATGATACTGGACATCACATGGGTTTTGAAAGTCAGATTTTTAATTACTAGGTTCTTAGCTTTTGTGTGTTGCCGAGCAAGTTGCTTAGTATTTTATCCGTAGATAGGAGGAAAGCCTAGAATAGTTCCTTACTGAGTAGGCTTCATAAATGTTCGCTTTCTTTACTTCTCATTGAAAGTCAGGAGAACTTATTCAGAGTCAGGTTTTCTGGAATGGTGAGAAGTTATTTGGTAACACATGTCTGGACATCCAACTACTACAAGAGCACAAAATATAACCAGTTTGTGGTGTAATTCAGGGACTTGTTTACCCTTTTCAGTGGAAGATTTTTTGTGTGTTCAAGTTCTCAGGTTAAGATTTGCCTTCATTCACATTGTTACGAACAGTATCTTTGAGATCTTCTGCACATTACATATACTGGGTAGTAAATACACTATTGTAGAATGACCTTTTTATTTTTAGTATTGCTTTTCCTTAAACTTTATTTTTAGTTGTTAATAACAGTTATACCCGCTTTCTTTTGGTTAGGATTATATTTTACTGGAAAACTATATCCTTATGTTATAGATAGGTTTCTTATAAATGGAATGTAGTTGTATTTTCTTAAATCCTGCCTGACGCTTTTTAATGGGAACCTTTAGTTGATTTATCTTCACCACTGACTTAATGTTGCGGTAGTTTTAATTTTTTTAACACACTACACAGTGGTGATACTTAAAAATGTTTATTTATATATATGAAGTTATCCTTTTTGCCCCTCATTTCTTCTTGGAAATTAGTTCTTCCATTTGGGATCACTTGCCTTCTGCCTGAAGAA